TAATTTATTATTATTACTTACTACTAATAATATCATACATTACTCTTGTGTGATAAAGGACTGTAAGTTACACTTTTAGTACTCACTCCCTAAACCTGCCTATAATTACGTTGCAGCACAGAAGTGCTTTCTAGCTTCTGGTTTATTTCAAGGCTTCTATTTAAATCTAAACTAAGCACACGTATTGACGAGAAAATATAGGGACCATGTTAGCTTAAGATAAAACAATAGCATGCACAGCATGTGGAATAATATTTTACCCAATTAAAATATAGACAAACAAACCAAAATACCTCATTTGCGACATGCTATGAAAAAGGGGAATTGTCTTTGAGTTTTCAGAGGTTTCCTTATAACCAGTCACTTGAAATTAAAGTTGACTTAAAAAGGCCTTGGAGAAAAAAGATGATCAAGACACTGACCGTGCAGTCACTTTTCCATTGAATATCTGCATCCATGTTCTATACCCTCTGATTCTCTGCACTGTTAAACAGCCATGCCTATCTAGAAAGGGCTGATGTCACCTTATATGATATCCTCAAACTTCTGTTTCACCATAGTGCTAACATGTAACATGCATCACACAGTGTAAATGTTTTAGGAGTGCTGGCCTCTATCAAGTAAAGAATATACATAGTATAGTGCACGTGTTTGTGATCATGATGGACGTTATGTGTGCCATAATGTGCCAACACACACACAGATACAGGCTGCTCACTGGCCATAAATGCTTTACTTTCTCTCTTTCTATCAAATGGAATCAGTTAGCCAACCGTACCTAAACTCAGCCTCTTGCCTCTCTCTCTCTGTTTCAGTATTTATTAATTTAACTAGACCCCCCCCTTCCTTCTTTTCTTATTTTTTCTCCTTTGAAGAGGAAAGCTGAGAGGATTGGGATGTACGGGTTCCTGCAGTGGCTGGGTCGTTTTGGTCGACTGGCCTCCTGTCCTACCGAAGCAGAAACATGAGGCTTTCTCTACACTGCCTGTTATTAACATGCTCTGCTTTGATGTGTGTGTGTGTGTGTGTGTGTGTGACAGACGAGGGCACGGGAGAGGGGAACTAAATTAAACCAAAGTCGCTTCTTTCTGTAATCTGTCAGTCTCTGTGTGATTGGTTGATAATTTTCCATACAGGTCTTTGCACCATATTCTCACAATACTCATTCCGAAAACCCACTTTAGACCAGGAGGAGGAGGAGCAGTTTTTAATGGAAGTGAGTGTCTGGACAGACCAACTGAGCTGTCAGCTGAAACACAGCAGTCCAATGTTGAAAGCGCCTGTGCTGTGCTGTGCTGTGCTGTGCTGTGTGTGTGTGTGTGTGTGTGTGTGTGTGCGTAGAATCTGCTGCTGTATGGTGCCCACTTGCTGCTCCTGCATGCTTTATAACCTCTCTTTCTAAAGTGGCATTCCTTGTTTTGTGTAATTTAGTCTCTCTGGTCACCTGTCAGTCAATCAGTAAGGATTTTTTCTGGATGAAAAAACCTACTTTATTTACAGCCAATGGTTTTGCTATGTAGGCTATCATTGTCCCAGCCCTATTCCTTGGAGTTACACACCTCAGGATTTGGGTCCCATGCCAACATTCTGTGACCTGTAAGAGTCAGGGTGGAAATGATGTAGTGCAGTGGTTCTCAACCTTTTTTGGGCCAGCGCACCCCTTTCCATTATCCAGGTCCCTTACCGCCCCCAATCAAAAAATGTTTTTTTTTTTACCTGAATATTGTTGATTTGTTTTATTGTTATTAAAAACATAGCAAAGGTAACAAAAAAGCCATGTGAAAAGTTATGATATTTAACTAATAAGTGAATATTCCTCCCAGAATCTGTGTGTGAAACCAGATACTGTTTTCTTGGATGGGACACTTAATAAGTGGGAGGTATGGGGGTCCTCCCCCAGAAGATTTTGAGCATTAAACACTTAATTTCCTGCATTCTGGTGAAAATTTGCACCAATTTATGGTGGAAATGTCTAAAAATTCAGGTGGCAGGTGACAATTCAAAATATATAATTATAATAGAATATAACCTAGTGAGGCTCTCAGGCATTCTCATTGCTTTTAATTATTTTTTTTATTTTTCCCTGCTGAGTCAACACACATGATTAAGTATTACCTCCTCTTTTGTGGGGAAGTAACCTATTTAAATGTGTTTGTGGCCCCTTTTCATCTCAGTAATAAATTAATCCGTTTTAATTCAGTTATTGATTGGACTTTATTAGCTAATCTGTTAATAACTTATCATAACTCAGGGTTTCCCACAGAATGACAGATACAGCATGCTGGCCTCGAAAACCCAGCGTAGTCTAACATTAACTTAGCTCTCCTTATTAGTTAGGCTCCTTACATACTTGCTAATAACTTTTAATAGCAGGGTCTCCGACACTGACAGCATTGTGTTGGACAGATTTGTGCAGCTGTGTTCACGAGGGAGAGAGAGCGAGAGATCGAGGGACGGGTGAGAGAGACGAGCAAGAGGATGTGCTGCGCTAATATGCGCTGCCTGCAGCTCAAATACGATTTTAAATAGGCCTAGTAAAAAAAAAATCAAAATCAACATGTGGCGGTGTGGCGGTCAGCGCTGATATTGTGGTAGGCCGCCACATATAAATGAATGTACGGGAAACACTGTAACTGTACTTATCTGCTCATGTTCAAAACTTTCTGCACATTCAGAATCTCTCCCACATATCTCAGTTCTCTGACATGTAAATAAAAAAAGTTGTAATGGGAGACTAACGTCATTAGCCCATTTAAAGAGAATTCATAATATTTTACTACATGCCCTATAGGCCTACTGCATTATGTTACTGATTCGTAACTGTACCATACTGTATCTGCTCGACCGTCTAACAGACAAAACTGAATGAGACGAGGAGGTGCTCATGCCGGGGGAAACGAAACTAACCGACAACACCTGTGGTCAGGCAGAAATCTCCGACACTTCAGCACCTCTGATAAGGTGCCACTTACAATCCCCAACAGAGCAAGACGTTACATTTTTATCGCTTACTGACACTACAGTATATGGTATAAACTGTCTGCGACTCACAGCATGAGGTGAGTTGCTTTCAGGGTCCCTCACTGGTCTTGCAGCGAAGTTACTTTCAGGGTCAGTCCAACAGGGGAATATCCCTCTTGTAAATGTGTAACCACTGCGATAACAAGACGTTCACAGTGTATTCCTCAGAAAAATAAACACTTTTCCACCAAGAAACAGAGCGTCAATTTTCCAGAGTTTACACAGTAAATGCCATGTGGGTAAAATTTTAGAGATGATACTCTGACCTCCCCTGAAGGCAGCACGAAGCTGCACCACAAGTAGCTGACAGAGAAAAAATACGCAGTCTCATCCAGTCGCAGTTGACTAAACTGGCAGGTTTTAATGTTGCAGACCACGTTTGTTTGCAAGTAGTTTAAAGTTTAAATTCTGTTCACTGTTGTGAATCTTTGGTGTAAACTGGTCTTAGAATTTCCAACTATCAAACGCCCCCCAAAAGCAACTCAGCACCCCCCTTCCAAAATATTGCTTCCAGCTCCCACCATTGTCCTCGGAATGCCCCCGTTTAGAAACACTAATGTAGTGAATCCAGTTTACCTATGGGAGATCAGGGTTCACATTCAGACATCTTTTTTTCTTTCCCTAACCTTACCTTAGTGTTATATTTGCCTATTCCTACCTGTATTATAACCACATTGTATTTGTCTTAACCACAATCTTTCCCAAACCTTAACCATAGCATAGTTACCATGCACAGACAGGCCTGCCCACAGAAATGACTGGGCCCCTGACAAGATCCAGTAAATGAGCCCTCTGCAAATTTGCTTTACTCATGTCAGTGCATGCTGTGCTCTCTCTATCTCCTACTTAAACACATACATGGCCTGCTGCATGCGGTGCACTTTTGATGTTTTGACGTTGCGTACAACAAACATTACTCATACTCGTTCAGGAGAGAGAGGGGGTTACATTATGAAACAGGCTATATTTTACTAAAGCAACATTTACGGTGGTGCAATGGTTAGCACTTTGCATGTTCTCTGCGGGTGCTCTGGCTCCCTCCCACTCTCTAAAGACATGCAGGCTAGGTCAATTGGTGACCCTAAATTGTCCTTAGGTGTGAGTGGTTGTTTGTCTGTGTGTAGATTTTAAAATTGAATTAATTAATTGCAGTATTGTTAGATATCACCATTCTCATCATGAGAATCAAATGAGTTCAAACTAAAAATGTAAAATGCATCAGTTACATGGAGTGACCTACCAGACACAAGGTGTAGGTTAGGGTCACATTAAGTTAACATTTTATGAAGTGGATGCGTTGCACTGTATTGTGGGTACTAATGAAAGCCAAATGCAGGAATCTTCAGAAAGCAGCCTGATTTTTATATCGTATACTGTGTTTTTGCATATCCTACAAAAATCAAAGACGAAAAGTGACACTTCTTTTTTGATATACAGAGATGATTGTTTTCAATAAATTAGGCAACTTCCTGCAACAAAACCCCAGAAGGGATTTATTATCTGTAGCTGAATTCCTGATCGTGGTTTTTATTTTTTGCTGTGGTTACCATAGTTTTATAGTTCCTCATGCATTAATAACGTCATTTCAATTATTATTCCAATTGTTTTCCCCTTGCTGTACCTTATTATGGTTCTGCAACAACAACAATTTCCTTGCAGGCACAATCAAAGTTTAATCTTTTGTTTTGCAATTCTCATATCTCATGGATACAGAATGTATGTTTCTAACAAAATATAATTGTACATACATTGTTATACTAGCTCTGTTGTAGATACTACTCATTAAATGTATAGGAACACTGCAAGAGGAGGGTGGATGGTCATCAAAGGGAAGGACATGTTTGAATCATTTTAGTGGTTTTACTGCAGTGCTGTGCCTGTGATTAACTGCATTCGCGATGTCTGATTTTTATTTGCCTTGAAATGCACTATGTGCAATAATAACTCTAAATCATGTTTGAATTTGTTTGTCTTCTCAGTGGTGGTGTTGTACGTGCAAGGCCTGGGGACCAAGGAGTGGAGAGAGGTGAGTGTAATGGCTAACTCTAGTTTTCAAGTGCAGAATGTATGGATTCCACCCATTGGCCTTTAAAGGTTAAAGTGATAACTGTGCAAATCAAAAGGTTTATGTTTTTGCTGAAAGTTCAGTTGGCAACTGACAAAAAGTAAGGTGGTCCTGACAGTCTGCTGTAGATGAAATGCTGTCATCTCTTATATATGGTTAAATTCCATCATGAGTGAATACAGTCACCTGTAGTTTGTCCCCAAACAAGACCTTTTGATTTGTATGTGCTGGTAATGGTGGTCATGTGATAAGTAGTGGTACCTTTAGAAGTAGTAGTAGTAGTAGTATTGACACTGAATCAGTGGTAGCATATATTTTCTCAGCAGTGGTCTGTAGTAGTGTTTGTTGACTCATGTTTCTCTATATTGTTGGCGGACAATGAATTTGGACCTACAGTACGTCAGCTGAATAAGAAGTCAAGTAGAGAGCCTAAAGGAAACAAAGGAAGATTTTTCTTGTTGTTGAAAGAATGAGTTTACATCTCTTATTTCTAAGTTAAGTTAAGCTACTTTGAGTTTGCGTTTCCTTGTGCCCATGATTGGTCAGTACCAAGCGGGAAGCTTCCGGTCTACAATATGAAGCTGATGTGGAAGTCCCTGAAACCTGCATTCTATTCAAAATCCAGCAGGGGGCGACTCTTAGTCCGGCTCCATTAGAAATAATGGGAAAATGACCCTACTTCTCAGCTGAATAATTACCCCAGTAAACACTTTCCTGATGAGTTTTTGGTCTTAGTCGCTAGTTTCAAGTCTTATTCAATACAAAATGATGTTCATTTAGTAAATTATGGTCCCATTTATTTTAAAATAGACCACAAAGTAGAGTATGTTTCAGGGCGGGATTATCTATGATTGACAAGTCGTTATCATGGCGACCTGTCAATCAGGCTAGAGCCGACTCGTACCCTCGGCACTGTGTAAATTTAACCAGCGCTACTGAAAAAGTTTATTAGGAGTCGGCTGTTCACTTTCTCTGGTGAGTACATTTAGTTTTAAGACTGTTGTTCGCTAGACAAAGTTATCAACCCTGTTAAAATGACAGTTAACATGAGTTACAGTTGCACTTAGCTTAGCAAGCTAGCTAGCTGTGCACACGGCCATTAGTTCTGACGTATCATCACTGCCGGGCACTTCCTGGTTGCAAAAACTCGACATGGCGGCGCCCTATCGGCCAAACTCAAGGCTTCAAAATGGCAATCCACAAACCAACGGCTGACGTCACGATGACTACGTCCATTTCTTATGTACAGTCTATGGTCAGTACAATATAATGCTAACCTTTACAGATGAATTGCTTTTTTTTTTCACTGAAAAAAAAGTTGGTGGCGATCGAAGCAGAGCTAAGAGAGGACTGAATATTGGCCCGAAAAAACAAAATTCTAATGAATGCTAATGTTGCTCTGTGTCTGTGCTGTGCTTTACAATACATCATATCAAATGTGTGTAATTGCTGCCGGTGAGAAATGTATTTTGTGGATAATTAAGCATTGATTTTAGATTCACAAACTGCATTTATATTTTAAATGCTTACAGAGTTTGACTGAGTGTGTACTGGAGAGCAGAAGAATCAGATAAACACAGAATTTACTGATGATAAGAAACAATCACTTGACAAAAGATCTTAGAAAACAAGGCTGAGATTGAAAATAACAGCAATGCTTTAAAAATCATTTGCTATTTTCAGCACATGTCCGATTTTCATTTAAATTAGCTTTTTAAAATAAGGGGAGCACAGGATGAAATGGGCCGAGCAGCACTTAGTCAAACTCCAATGGGGATAACTCAAAGAAACCATAAACAACCTCCTGTAAGGTCAGAACTAAAGAGAGTCTAAGCAGGCGTGGAGCATGATGTCCTATCACACTGGATGTTTTTTTAGTGAACAGAATGTAATAAAAACTAAGCCCTTCTGTGAAACCTGAGCAGCCAAATATAGGAATTCATAAATTGGAAAATCATCCGAGACGCTTTGTGAGGTCTGCCCTGGAACACTATGGCTGTGTAAACATCCTTCTCCTCTCTGCCTCAGTGTGTCTCACTCTTTTTCTTGCAGTAATTTCTGCTTTGTTCTATCAGACAAAATCAGCCTCACCTCAGTGGGGATCCAAACACACAAACATAGATCTCAATCAGTCTCACAGGGAGAGGATGCTTTCAGCAGACCTATATACACACACACACACACACACACACACAAACTATAGAATGGTGGTTGATGCATCCATAATGGGGCGGCTGTGGCTCAGGAGGTAGAGCGGGTTGGCTGTTAATCGGAAGGTTGGTGGTTCAATTCTGCATGTAGAAGTGTCCTTAGGCAAGATACTGAACCCTGAGTTGCCCCTGGCAGCTCTTCTGCCAGTATGTGAATGTTAGTTTCTGTTTGAGCACTTATGCTCAGTGTATGAATGTGTGTGAATTGTAAATGCGCTTTGAGTGGTCAAAAAGACTAGCCATACAAGTATGGAGCATTTACATAATGTACAATGTAACTGAGGTTCAGGAACAAGACCACATCTCTCTCATTAATCCAACCACCTGTACTTCATTTCAATCCATTCACCTGCATATACATAAAAGCCAGTCTAACCCTTTTCGCTCCTGTTTCTCAGCTCTCACGACCATATGTATAATACTCATAAAAAGTTACTTATAACCTTAGTTTACTGTAACATGGATTACGAGCTGGTTTTCAGCCCCTCTGCAATCTGTACTCCTCCGTCCAAACGCAACAACATTGTGATTCCATACTCCGTGTCTGGAGTATCAGAGAAACTTTTCAACAAACACAACATCCCTGAGAAAAGCAATCTAGTGTATTTGGTCCAATGCAGTGAGGAATGCACAGACCTGCATATTGGGGAGACCAGGTGCACATTTTAGACAGAGAAGATGGATGGTTTGAAAGAGGTGTCAAGGAAGCCATCTACACCAGGGTTGAGAAGCCGTCATTGAACAGGGGAGGGGGTCTACGCCACAAACTTATCCCCCACTTACAATGCTGTCCTTTCATCACTTCCCAGGAAACTCAACAAACGTAACCTATTGGCCTCAGGTGAAGATACCAACGATGGTCGTTCAGTCTTGGCCTCCGGTAGTCCTAACATCGTCACAGCAACCAGGAACACTAACAAACCAGCAGTATTCTGGCAAAACGACCCCACTGTTAAATAGCTGAGTTCCCCTGCCAGTCAGTCAGAACTGAAGAAGTTCTTTGGATGAGGGACGAAACGTCTCCTAGTATCTTCAACCAAGTCCAGCTGCCCTTGACTATAACCTTCGTCAACCTCCCAGTTCATGGTTTCACTTCCAGTTTCAATCCAGGCATCAAGGTTATCCCGATCCAGCATAACCTCCAGTCCCCCCTTCGCCGAGCCTATACTGTGGCCAAGTTTCTGGCTAACAAAGTTGACAACAGCATTGCGATAGGTCTATTCACCAGCCCCCCTTTCCCAATTCACTGCACCATCCATACCGGCATCACCACCAGGACATACACTGTCAAAGATCATCTCTCTTTCCCCCACGGCACCACCACACCAAGCACCAAAAGCCTCATCTGCAGTTCACATTTTTTCATGCACCACGCAACCAGCTCACGCGATATTAACCTCAACCATCTTACCAGCCACCGCGCCTGGTCGACTTCATCATTACCAGCACTTTGATTTCTGGAGTTTCTTCTTTTCCGCGTTTCTTGGAATGGTTCATATTACTTACAGTTTTTTTCAATTGTTAACCTGCACTGGTCAAAACTGAAGTCACATTGTCCAAACTCACACGGTCAGCGAAACAGAAGTGTATGTGGACCAAACTGTAAGTCGTTTTTCATTGCTTTCACACAAAAAGCATTCAATGACCACTCTCTCCAAAATCCATGAACTCTTTTCTCTTGCAAAACACTGTATATCTGCAGCACATTTTTCAAATGCTAACACACTGTGTCCAAAATGATTGCAAATATCTTGCATTTTTGCAGTAACTGAACAAATAAATGTAGAAAATCTCAGCAGGACATTTATGTACATTTTACGTCTATGTGCGTAGAGAAATGTGTGTAGTGTTTTGAATGTGGACTTACTGTAAAACTGCAAGCTGCGAGTAAAGCAGGAAATGCAGGAATGCAGTGATATAGAAAAAATAAATGATACTGAAGCAAATTTCTGCATTTCTGATTCATTCTTGTTACATAGTACTATAGTACAGTCAATAAAGTGAAAATATGTTATTTTTAAAGTTTCTCTCAGTCGCTTTGGTATATTTCTAGAATCATCCATTTTTATTGGTAAACTATGGCTAAAGGTTTGGATGACAATGATTGAAAATTCCCAAGACTGCACTTTTTCTGTATGGCATGTATCAGTTTCAACAGTACAGAGTTAAACATTGCAAGGGATTGGACAGGATTCACAGTTATGCTTTTAACTGTGAATTTGTTGACAGAGACAACACGTCATTGTGATACAGAAAAGAAGAAGATGAAACTATTACGGCACTGCATAAAATAACAGAAACGATTACAATGTACAGTTTTTTCATTGCTTTGGTACTACTATCGCAAGTATGTGGTAAAATTTCACAACTTTTAGTACAAAACTCCAAACTCATCACACATCGCCAGTCTTTCATTCAAAACTAGCCATTGTGCATTCATTTGGATTGTAAACATCTCTCACTGCACAAGCCATTGATTCAAAATATAGGTTTCTCGTGAAAAGTCATGAGAACATATGGTTTAATCACCAAAACACAACATAAGGATTTCTTTTCAGTTTAGTCGTTTTAACAATCAGTGAATTCATTGATAAACAATGCGAGATACATGTTTCAAATCACCTTAGAAGTGCTGAAAATAGTATGACAGATTACAGTTTTCACATTAGGCAATACACTTTCATTACCCAAGATTTACAGAATATGTCATTTCCATGATATTTATCCTAAGTCAAGTTTTCCAGATATATT